GGGCTGTCATGGGGGGGGAACTGCCCTGGAGGCATCCCAGGGAGACCCCCCATCCCAGCCCCGCCAACGCCCCCCCCCATACTGGACATGCCGGGCATGCTGGGAATGCTGTTCATGCCGCTGGGCAGACCCCCCATGGGTCCCAGCGGGCCGTGGGGCGGCCGGGGGCCCCCGCCGCTGGGCAGGGGGGGGCTGTTAAAATGGTGACCTCCTTGTCCTGGGGGCTGCTGGGGAGGCACCCCAAATCTGGGGTGGGGTGCTCCCCCTGCTCCCCCGAGCGCCCCCGGAGACAGCATGGGGTTGAAGCCGGGGCCGTGGTGCATGGGCCCCGGGGGGCTGAAACTGGGGGGGATGTTAAACTGCGGCCCCCCCGGCGGGAACCCCCCGCCTCCGCCCCCCCCTGCCCCTCCTCCCGGGCCTGGACCCCCGAACCCGGGGAGACCCCCAAACCCCATCTGGTGGTGCCCCCCCCCAGCGCCCCCCGCTCCTGGGGGGCCGAAGGGGGGCCTGCGCGTGGGCTGGCCGCTTCCCCCCGCTCCTGCCGCCCCCCCTCCGAGGAACGGCATCCCCCCCATTCTCATGGGCCCCCCCGGGCCCCCGTACCCCCCGCCAGGGCTGGGAAGGAAGGGCCCGCCAGCCGAGCCGGGGCCCCCAGGGGGTCCCCCAGCACGAGCCGGGGGCCCAAAGTCATCGTCGAAGGGGTTGGAGGCCACCAGGTGATCGACCATGGGGGTCGGAGGGGGGGCGAATTCTGAGAGGTGGGAGAACGCAGCTCCCTGTGATGGAGGAGAGAGGGGTGATGGGAGAGAGAGATGGGAGAGGAGGAGGGATAGGAGGGGGAGAGAGGAGAGAGGAGAGAGGAGAGAGAGAGAAAGTTAAATCCACGCTGCTGCTCGTAAAAGGACTGACTCCCCAGCCCACTAGTCTCTGGGACCCCTGAATCCACGGCCACACCCCAGCAGAACCGATGATGTCACCCCCATCCAGACCAGCCCCCCAGCAGCCTGACGGCCCTGGATATTACTGAGGACAGCAGCTCGCTCTGATTCAGGGGTGCAGTCTCACACTGAGGGCTGCTGTCTGATTCAGGGGTGCAGGGCTGGACTCCCAGCTGCAGATCTGACATGCAGGGCCAACAGCCTGAGAAAAACACTGATCAGCACTGCTGACTGACAGGTGGAGACACAAGTGCTGCTTACCTGAGCACTGGATTTCCTCTTCTTCTTCTCTGGGCTCTTCATCTGTAGACCTGTACAGACAACAGACACAGACCCATCACAGACCAATTCACATCGCAGCCTTGATGATGATGAAGGAGTGTTCATGTGAAGAAACAGAGGAGCTGGACTGAGTGTCTGTACAGTGACTCTCCAGCTCTGATGATGATGAAGGAGTGTT